TCTAAACTATCAAATGCTTTTTTGGAAGTCTATAGCCATTAGTGCGCCTGGTTGATTATTATCTTTTGTGTATTGCATAATGCCTTCAATAAGGCGCACAGATTCCCCTATATTCCTACCTTTTATAAATGCTGTTTGGGTTTCATGAATATGTTTTGGGAGAACTTTATCCAGCCTACGTGAAATACATTTTGATGCAATTTTATAGTCTGTGTTAAGTAGTGTAATAGGGCGCCAGTTACGAATAAATCGTTTGCCTTTATCCTTTTTTTCGATAAGTGTGATAATCCCTTGTCTTTGACTAGTTGAAAAAACGCCATTCATGAAAGCCATATTTAAGGAATTTACAACCATGTCTCCAATCAAGGGCCAAAACTTGCAATAGAATTCCGGACTTAGTCCATCATTCCCAGGAGATTTGTTTTTTGGAAAACAGTTTAGTGCTTCAATAGCTTCATGTTTGGCGATGAGGCCTTCACACAACTCTTTCTCTGTATCATTGAGTGTAACAGATGGTTTAAAAGGATTATCTATGGAATTACTGCCAGTCTTCCTACTTCGATATAATTCAGCATAGTAGTTTAGTTTTTAGCATTACGCCGTTCCAGACCAAGAAAACATTTTGTATTTTTTTCTCCTTGCTCATACCAGCTAGCTTTTGATCAGATTATCGCACCTTCTGTGATGTGATTATATTCAACTTGGAGTTCGTTTTTTACCAGCTCTAGTTCCTCTTTTATCAAAACATTTATAGGATTATTTGCAAGTATTATATCAAGTTCAAGAATCTTTTTTTCTAGATTTTTCTTTTTTCTTTTCGAGCACGAGATATAGTTTTGCTATACTTTATTGTACATTGTTTAATTTTATACTTCAGGAACTCCCATAATAGTGCATTGTCCTCCATTTGGCCTAATTCTGCAATCCAATCCAAACTGGAATGTTATTTGTAACTACAGTTATATAGTTAGGATCATCTAATAGGCTATTGTTGAACTTCCAATAGGAGTTCCCTAATTTATAACGTTCATCGCCAATGGTAACTATAATGGCCGAATGGTCTGAATGTACACAAGGAATTATATCGGCAGTCTTCACTGCTAGTTGGGTTGAATTACTAATAAGAAAATAGTCAATACGTCTCAGGCATCTCCATGTAAAACGTTTGGTGTTTGGATTTCGTAAACGCCAAATGTCAACTAAATCAAATTTTGTACATAAATCCTTAAGTTTTTCACACAAGTTTCGCCAGGGTGAAGGGTTTCCCCCATTCTATCTAAATGTATATTCATTGTAAAATTATGATCCCCTCCCCAAATTATTTCCTTATCTGATTCAATGGAGATATAGTCAAGAAGTGTAATGATAGATTCCGGAAAGAGAGTATGCTCGGCCTCGTTATTGGGTGCATATGAGTTTATAAGTAGGTATGGTTTGTCGGAAAGATCAATAGAGATAATAATGACTCTACCCGTGGCATCACTTGTTACGGAATTGATTTTATATTTGATGTTTCGAATAATAATGGCTGTTCCTCTACTTAACGAGCTTCCATGAGAGAATATGAAGTGACCATCCATTTCCCTGCAGCTCAACACTGTTTCATCCCTCTCCAAGGTATGGGTCTCCTGTAGAAAAATAATATTAGAGTTAGTATTTTTTAACCAATTGAACATACCCAGTCTTTCTGACAATTTCCCAGGCCTCTCACATTGAGTGATAACATTTTAAGGGACGCATTAATTTATATATAACATTTTCAATTTCTGTGGTACAATCATTCTATTACGTTTCATTTTCATTACTGGGGCAAAGTAAAATAAAAGAAAAGAGAAGGCACCAACCAAAATAATACAAAGGAAGAATGACATGGATAATGGGAGCAAGCTGCTAACTACAACGGTAGCAACTAACAAAAAAAATCAAAACAGAACAAGCAAAAAACAAAAAAGGCAAGATAGAGATGGCAAGAGGTCATACAAAAGGTTTATCTCTAAAAAGTTTTAGAGATAAACATCAACTCTTTACATAACAAATAACGGAAACTTTTTTTCCGCTTACAAACATCAGGGCAGATACATAGATTGTTTACTACTATACTTCCCCGTCAATGGGAAGATAGGGTATAAACAAAAAACAAATAAGAAAACGATATAATTTGTGAGAAGATTTTAAAAATAAATCTCTGTATAGTTTTAACAAATGTGTGCATCCAAGATGCATATCATACGAACGATCTAGCTAGACATCTTCTCTGCTAATTTGACATCTTCAAATCACTTTTCTACTAGTCAAACTACATTTACTTTTTAAACTAAAGTCGAGAGAATACATAATTTTAGCATACAGTTTACTTGTGAAAAGCTGTAAAGGAACTGAACTGTTTGTGTGTTACCTTGTTCCCAGTGTAACCATGCCAAACTGCAAAGAGGTACTTAATATATTTGGAGAATTTTACATAGTCAGATATAGCATTTAATGAAAAGCTGTCAGAGTTGCCGCAATTTCCTATGCAAGAAAAAAGAAAATAAAGAAAGGCTAGTGTTGTTATCTTGCTGGCTATAGCATACGACTTAGATTATTTTTTATATAGAAAATTATTTATGAATAGTATACCATTTGAAAAACAAACTTTCTTTCCGGCTCTAAAGGCACTATCCATGACTTTTTCAATCCTTTTTTTTTTATATAATCTGCCTTACATAGGTCGACAACTACAAATATATCCGAATCTTAGTCTTATTGGAAATTTCACAAGTATATGACGTGGTGTTGTGTGATTTTCTTTTAACATCGACTGGTACTCGGTGAGCATTATCTATTAAAACTTTTGGCATATTAAACTTGTCAGATAAAACGTCTTGGACGAGAGATGCACAATTTTCCGTATCCCGTTCTGTAATACCACCAAATCGTAGATTATAGCTACGTGAGCAGCGCTCTGAATGTATACTAAAGTTTTCAATTGAACTTGTACGTAACTTTGTTAACTCTAGTTCAGTTTGTAGCTCACTGAATTTCGTTTGTAATATTTCGTTTGACGCTTTCAAGTCAACCACTTCTTCACACGTAAATTCAACAGACTTTACCAAATCTGTACATTTAACTTCAACGGCAGTAACCCATTCAGAAATCTTTTTTTGCTCTTGCAAAATAGACGACGTTAATTTTGGTTTCCAAGCCTTGCAAACATTCCTTCATCAATAGCTTTAAAGTGTCGTGCGTAATTGTGCCACCTGTCGGTTCGCCGGGTCGGCCATCTTGGAAGTAGCTGGAGATTAAATCTGTGTCTATCGGTCTATTTTTTCTTTTCCGTCGAGGTCGATCCATTTCCTTAATATAAGTGTTGCAATAATATGGCAATAACAGTTAATTAGCTTACCGCAGTAATTTTACGTCAACCTACTGTTCATTAACTGAGAGAAGCGGATATCTTAAACAGACGATGTGAACACGATGCTCACACTTCGACTATGACCTCGTGAGCCGGGATATTACTACCTTCAATTTGAATCATAATTCACCGTTCAAGGTTAAGGTCAATATTAGACAACATCCACATCAGAATTCCACATTTGATTTTTTTAATCTTAAAATTTCTCGCACATTCTTTTATAATATCTTACTATAAGATCGATATTAATGAGGGGTCTACATGTACAATACAGTCGGAGTATGGTATTTTGATATTTATCAAATTTGAAGATAGCCTTTGAGTAGAAGACATTAAAATCAATGGGCATTCGTGATTTGTTTGAAACCGAAATTAAGTTCATAGTTGAATAAAGTAAAATCCATCCTCTTAGATAATTGCTACTCGAATTAAATTATCCCGTCTTTTGTTTCAAGTGCTCTAAGTTGTTCAATGAGAAATTTTGAAGCGTAAGTTATTCTGCAACGTTTCAGTTGCGGCTTTGCCGTACATTTTTGCTTCACATAAAACATACCCGAAACATCAAATCAGAGTATATTACTTAATATCCATTCTGGCACGTTCTATTTCGGATGGCTAAAGTTCTTTCAAAACCTTGAAAGCAGCTCCGAAAACAACATTCTAGACAAGACATAACCAATTTTTTTGTGTACAAATTTCTGTGTTTATTTTATCAGTAATTCGCATACATTGAAATAGAACAGTTAATGCAGCTATAATCCTATCAGAATCACAATACATTCAGAGCCAAAAATACATATATTATCGTAAGTGTGTTTTATAAATAAACAGCCACTACAGGCATATCCTATTATTTCAAAAACGTGTATGTATTGTGCACAGTATGCTGACATGCTGTTCTTGGACACAACATTACTCTTGTTTTCTTCATTTTCTCTAAACGACTTTACATGTTGGCGTATGCTTTTCATACCAGGTATGGGGTACAGTCATCACGCTATCATGATGCAAATGGGGGACGTGCTAACTCGACATGGTCATTATGTTTGCTATTTGCTGTCATCCGCTCATATATATATATATATATCTGCACAATATATTTGAAATTTTGTATCGGACATTCAACTTTATAAACAAGCGCCTTAAATAAATAGGTGGTATATATCTATTCAAGTGTAATGCTAATAAACCGATTACTGCTTCTGGCCATAATAAATTAGAAATCCAAAACCTCATTTTCCAACTTTTCTGAACTAAGATATGCATAAATATAATCTTGATCACAATATTGCTGTTAACAAAGACAAACTTGAATTGAAGTTGATTATAATCCACCAAATTGTGACAGTCTTTGACAAAGTGACAAAACAGCGAATGACAGAATGTTTCTGGTTAAACTAATAATATTTCATTGGTTATACTAAATTAAAAACAGATATTATTCTATTGCAGGAGCTTCAATGTTTGTTTCCAGCTACCACACACCTGTGTTGAATTTGTGTATAATTAAAACGAGCCTTTATGAGTCCTATTAATACATGTACATAAATACAACATGAAAATTAACATATTATAGGTTTCATTTAAGGATTGTATTATATTATAGGTTCCATGCGATCATTTCTCTCATCAAAGAAGATTATAGAAGCATTAGGCAGAATTTAGTAAATTTAGTTCAATTCATTTTACTGGTATGAGGAGATATTTTCGTTTCCCCGTGTAATATTTACTTGGGGTTTGACCTGTGGCTGTGAGGGATCTGTTTGCTACACTGTACGTCGTTTTGAACTGCGTATTTCGGAGCAGTGAGTGTGGCGTGCTGGGAGCGCGTCTGCCTGCATTTGTGAGGCTATTGCCATGGTTACGAGTTTGAACCCTGTTTTTCAACTTGTAAATACAATTTATTTACTTTCAAGTATCGCATTGATTAAAACAATTATGATAATAAATTAATGACTAGATTTGATCTTAAAATACTAATATTTGAAATTGATTTTGTTTTGTGTTGTATTATATGATTATCGTTGGTTGTCCTTGCGATGTATTTTTCAAAACTGTACAAAGACAAGCCACTGAACGCATCAGAAACCGTTGCATACTGGGTAAACCATGTTCTCAACTATGACAGGAAGCATTTGAACAGCAATGCCAAAAATAAGTCATCCATACAGTACTACCTGATTGATGTAATCCTGCTTTTTGCT